TACCTGTAAGTTTCGGTAACCAGAGTCACTCACTCGCGCCAATTCGCAGCTTTAGAGGAGTTTATAGTCTCACCCTAGCAGGGTCTGTACTTAAAGAAAGTTGGCACAATAAATCCCTAAGACGATTAATACGCCTGGCAGGACGGAATTCCGCGACCTGAGCAGGCGCTGCGTAGCGCCTTTTCCAAGGAAGGTGCCCTTATAAGGGCCCTATCAAGCTACAACATACCGACCCGAACGCCCACAAATGGACGACCGTACCTGATGCTCGTATTGCTTCATTTGCTAAGTAAAATATGAAGCGAAGGGATTGATATGAAGCGGCTGCGGTGCTGCATGGATATATGAGTACATACGTGCAGCCGTATCTACCGTAGCGGTTATTGGCAAGATGCCTACGGGAAACTCGTCCGAAATTGCTTTTTGAGTCATTAAGAACGAAGGCTTTTCTCCGCAGGTTTTTGACCGTTTCACTTCGTTTTTTCGTTACTTTTTTACTTTCGTTACTTAATATATAGCGCCCTGCTGGCATTTTAGGCCAGGTACCAAATTATAGTGCCAATTGCCTTTAAGATGAAAAAACAAAAGGGACTCGCGAAAGTACAAAATACCCCTTCAAGTCGAATAGGGTGGAAATGTTTATAACGTCTCTCCTACGCCTATTGATTTCTACAGATGTAATGGTTCGACTACCCGATGCGCGACATATAGCTGTTTACTCCAAGAAATGCTGGTATAAGGTCAATATCTTCCATGGAAAACGAATGCTACGGCCAGCAGAACTACAACGGTACCTTTCTTTTGCTTTTCTTTTATTTAATTCCCACACAGCTAAAGATATTAAAATACAGATCCATCCAAATGATCTTGGACCGGAACGACATTCCCCACGAGGGAGAAGAGCGCCTTTCAGCTTTGACAGCAGGCCCTCGAGATCTCTGGGCTCGAATTCGAGACCGCAAATTTTCTGAAGGTGAGTTTGATAACTCGGATTCCAAAGAATCTAGATATGGAAATAAAGAGAGACGGAAAGGATCCAAGGGAGTCCTATACATGTCCTATTCCTTGTGACGCCTTACGAACTGTACTTCAGCTAATCAAGGAATGTTCGTTAGGTGGAATCCATGCGGATGCTGAGCAAAAACATGGGCGGAGACGGTAAATCACCATGCCTGGTTGACGTGGTGTTTCTATCTGCGGACCATGTAATGGCTGAATGACAGCTGCCCCGTCGCCAGTGCGATATCACTCTCCAGCAAGATATTAGGCACTATTTCCCTTTTACTGCCCCAATCTTCCGAAATCAGAGCAGATTTTCACCCAAATTTTTCTGTAAGCGCAAATTTTGCTGAAAGAGAGCGGTATTTTGCCCTCTTGAGGGCAAATATCACATCCGAATGGCTCGAAAACTCCTAATGTTCGCGGAAATCAGAACAAGCACGTAGTGCTGTTGCCAGTAAAGGGAGCAATCAGCGGTTTCATGCCAAGCGAATGTGATATTCGTGCTCAGGAGGTCATACACGCCTCGGAATAATATTTCAGCAAACTTGGTGACTTTGGTTATTTTGGCGCTGGTGGCTCTAGCTCGGGCGCCAGACGGTTTCGGGTCAAGCGGAAGTGGCTTTCGAGCCCAGGAGATCGAACTACCATCGGAGATAAGTTTTCAACCAAATGCGCGACCTAATTCTGGAACATTGGGACAGTAATGGGGTAGAAGTGTCACGAATATTCATACCGCGCTGCCACTAAAAAAATAGTTGAGTGTAGCGAGGAGAAACTTTTTTGGGAGAAACTCTATTTCAAATAAAGTCAAAAATAATCGAATGTAACTTTTTCCGTATAACAAAATGAGGTACCGAGAAGTTCATTGCATTCTTACATTACATCGCTATCGTGGAATCAGCGCTTCTTCCTACAGGAATTAACAAGGAGTCGCTGTCGATGATCGAAAACGCTCTCGAAATCGTCTTCTTGGATGACAACGAAACTGGATACGATGAGGTGCACTGGGAAAATTTCGCTAATGGGTATGGGTATGAGACGAACTTTTTCTTTTTCAGAATGATCCCACGGTGTACGATCGCGAATATCAACTTGCTCTAACTGGAGACGGTTACAAGCTATGGTGTGATAAACCGAGTGTCTACTCGTTCACCAAAAATGGCAGGGTGAGGAACTTTCATTTCTAGAGGAGTACGCGAGCTGTCCGGGAAATCCTTGTTGGTGGCCGCGCAGCAGGCAGCTCGACGCGAATAGCATCTCCTAGACACTCGACATGGTAGCTTGAGGTCCTTTTGCATGCAGTCAATCGGGGCGTACTTACACGTCACCATTTCCCAGAATTTCTAATCCTCACCAGAAACCTAATATATAGGAAGTGGCCCAATCAGATTGTTGTGCAATTTGGCTCTTATGCTTGCAGTTCATATCGAATGCTGAGCACTCGGTGGTTGATGCGATGATCTACGTGCACGTGCGTGAATATCTGAAGTATCACGAAGCTTTCGACAAGCCATATGGTCCCGACGGTAACTGTACTGGCGACATTCAAGTGGTTCCAAAACCTGAGCGACTTCGATGGGACTTGGACGATGAGGTGATTTTTAATGAGCACCTATCAAAAATGTGATCACGTTCATGGTTCGCGACACCGGCGATTGTGGGACTCCAGCATCGCGCTATAAAGAACAAACTGGAGCCTCAGTTCCCCGTATCATGTTCCTTGTCAAGTGTGGGAAGAATGGATCCACAGCTGCAGTAGTGTGCCGCTTTCTCCGGTCAAAAGTACCCGGGAACCTAACCGGTGGGTATTGCCCGGGTGCCGTCTCCATACAACGCCCGCGCTATAGCACTGCCGGTCAGAAGCCTAAATATAGCCAAAAGCGCTACTTGTCTGCGCCCTCTCACTTCTGTTCTCCTTTCTGCATAAGCATAGCGCGGGCGGAGTATAGA